AATAGAACTGTGCGGAACTCTGTCCGCGGCGTCCATCACTGTGCATTCATTAATCTCTCTCGTGATTGTGGGTACTGTCCCCTAAAAATCGTTCTCACTCATCTCTAATCATACGCCTCTTGCTCGTCACTGCGCTCGCCTCGTTATTCTTCACATACTTTGCACGCCCCATTGCACAATGTACAGGTAACCGTTCGCCTATGTAGCGCTAAATTTGTAAAAGCGTCTCAACGGGCTCCGTGCCAAGTATAAAGAAGTGGTAACTGAAGCCGGATAATTTGCATATGAATAAGCCATAAATGAGAACAAAATTTAATGCCTCGTGTTAGCTAGTTGATGACTACTGACTAATAACCACGTGCTTCTGGGTGGATGTCGAATCTCCCCATCGCTGTGAACTGGTTTGTTGTGTGCGAGCCGTCTCCGTCAACTGTGAGTGTAAGTTGCATCGCTGTCAATCGACCAGCTCGTTACTTCTTCCAGGATCGAGATTGTCAGTTCGCAGAGATCAAATCAGTCGTGCCCATCGTCATTACGGGGCTCATTTGTTCTGTTTTGATCACTCTAAGGTAACGGAATCAGCCGCACATATCGGTACCTCCAGTCGTTTGGTTATGTGAATGGTATAACCAATTCACTTTTCTATTCTAACTTGTATTTGAACTGTTCACATTTTTATCGCGTTTTCCCCGGGTCTAAATCTGGTAACTGAGGTACTCCTGTTCCTTCTTCTTTTGGGTTCCAGCGGACAGAAGTGGTGCGTGGATGCCACGAAAGAGACTCCTCGCTTGGGGCGCCTGATCAATCACAGTCGATTGCATCCGAATTGTCACGTGAAGGTGATTCCGCTTGATGGCATGCCCCGACTGGTCTTGTTCGCCCGACAAACTATCAATCCGGGTAAGTGTTTTCCCCTCGCCAATCGAGCACTCCCTAACAGATAATAACTTTTTTGGATTGCTTAGATTACAGGGTTGTGCATTTGTCCCTGGTTCATGATTTTATGAGTCACGCCAATTTCAACTGCACCTTTTTGACGGATCTCAGTCATTCTCTTCAATTTATCCACGATTAGTTTTACGAAGTTGATCGGTTTACTAAATTTAGCGTAGGAATCCTTGAGCTGTACTGATCCAACTAACTCAGTTCAAAGTGGAAAAGCGAACAACCTTCGTTTCGATAAATCGCTTCAGGCATTTACATATACAGTTCGACTAGTTAATAGAGTAATACAAGGTCTGAGCTGATGTTGAAAGAATGTGTTTGTATGTGTGTGCAAAATGTGCGGTAGATAACAGTACTATGGTTAACGATAAGCCGGCTAAAATGTGTGAACTGGACACGATTCAAAAAGTGTAGGCCAAGAATGATTGAAACAAGTGTGAACACGTGTTGAAAAATACAATAAATGTGCAACTGACGAGATTGGAGGTGTTACCTAGGCATACAGGGCAATCATTTGTATGGCCATATTAGCAGTAATGCTTGAACCGGATTATGTTGCTTGCGCGATTCCGGCTTGGTAGTCCTAGTTGCTATGGTTTTCGCCGTTATCAGGATCACAATCGTTCAGCGAAGTAAGGTGAAGTGAACTTCACTGATCGCTGCCAAACTAGCAATGCACACGAAGTTAGTGATAATATGTAAGATGGGCAATAATTGAACCTGTTTTGAAGGAGGTGGAATAAAGTGCAGCTAGACGATCAACTCATAGAATACCCAATCGAACTGTGCGCACATACCGTTTCAGGCATTCTGGCCTGATAATAAATGACAACA